TAGTAACGTACTACCCGACCCGTACGGTACGACGTACGTACCGTACGTTACGTTACTACGTATAGTATATATATATATATATATATATATATATATATATATATATACATACGGTAACTTGGACTCTTAAACAGTTTCACTGTTTGGATCTGATATCAAAACGCGCCAGGATCTACAGTGAATGCTTTAAACAGGATTATCTAGCCCCCGAAAACCAAGGTATTAGAGAATGGTATTTAAAAACATTTCAACCTAGATTAATAGAATTATTCCATAAAAAATACAATAAATTCCTGAAAAAAGAAAGAGAAACAAAAGGATTCTTTATCTGGTTACAAGAAATCTGTGCTCAATATAACATTCAAATTCCTCAATTCAATACTATTCAAACAATTGAAGAAAAAACCTATATAAGCGTAGACGGAACTAGAACTTCTAGTACATATCCACTTGAGAAAAGTATTATCCTAAAAGGAATCAAAAGTCCACCTGTAAAAGGTGAACCACCACAATCCCTATATGACATTATTATAACACCTTATAAGGTTGTACCCAAGGAAATGGGAAAGAAACATGAATTAATTCCGCATATTGTGGAACAAAATAATTACTAACCTATATATGCAGTCATTAGGAAAACAAGCAGAACGAATAGAAAAATTAGTCACTCCTCAACCTAAGGTAGTAACTCCTCTATTCCTAAAGCTGTTTTATTCAAACCTCCTCCTGAACTCAATAAAACTAAATTTCATTTAGGCGAGGATAATAAAACACTTATGGATCAATTAATATCCAAATTAGCCCAATTAGATATCAAAGGAATTCCCTCTCCAAAACTTAGTACTCCTACACCAATACCTAGTATTTCAATACCATTACCTGGTGTGGCAGAATCTTCTAACAAAGGTAAAATGAAGATTTCGGAGCATGAAACTCTAATGCTCCAAGAAGAAGAACCAATGATAGATGATACTTTACAAAATAAAGAATATGCTTTTATGGATACTGTAACTAATGATCTAAATAGAAGAGCCTATGGTAAAACATGGAACCCAATCACATCTTTACCATACTATAAGAGACCTACACTTGTTGGTGTACAACTGGAAGAAGATGCTATACAACAGGCTGTTTCCTATTCAGGTAGATCAATTGTCAATTGGACAATAGATGGTCTATCAGATCTAAAAATATTAGATGTTATGAGATATATGACTATGTTTGCCTCAGCTAATAAAATGGCTGGCAATCCTGATCAAGAGGTTGCCAAAGCAATAGTGAATGGATTTACTGGCTGGTTAAGAGGATGGTGAGATTTCTATGTTGATGATGAAACAAAGAATAGAATCCTAACGAATACTAGACAATGGACAGCCAAGAATAAACAAAATCAAGAAATAATTTATACCGAAAGCGATGCAGTAAACACTCTCATATATACAATTACCTTTCACTTTGTAGGAAGTACAACTCTCTTAGCAGCAAGATCGGAAGATTTACTGTCAAACCTAAGATGTCCTACTTTATCTCATTATAAATGGTATAAAGACGTATTCTTTTCAAGATTACTAATACGAGAAGATTGTCAACTAGACCATTGGAAAGAAAAATTCATT